TGTCTAGGTGGGGGGGGGGACTTTGAGTTTACTTTTAACTTCCTTTAAAACAACAGCTTGTTTAAAAATGAAAACCAATCTTACAGAAACAAGAAACAGGGAATGTTAAAGCTGGAAAGGGCTATAGTTGAAATTTTTCATTTTACAGATGAAAAGTCAGTTTCTTCATCTGTAAAATGAAAGGGTTGGGAGAAATGAGATTGAATATCTTCCACTTCTGAGAATGCATAACATCTAGAAAGGCTAAATGGTGCCCAAAGTTGCACAGCTGGTCTGTGCCAGACTTGGAAAGTAGATTTGGTTTCCAGGATTCTCTTTATGGCTGTGAGTCAATTCTGTATTTTAAAAAGTTTAGTCAGCCCAATTGTTTGACACAATGCAGATAAATATCCATCTTACCAAGTTGGTTTATTTTTCTATTTCAGTCACTTTTCCTGTGTCCTGGGATGTCACCAGCCACAGAAGGAGCAAAGCCTTAACACAACACAATTGTGCTTGGAGCTGACTGAACCACTCAACAGAATGCAACAAACTTGGCCTTTACTGTTGGGACCAAAGAACAATGGATGCAATGTGTTTAAGCATGCAGATTTGTGCAAAAGTGACATGAAATGGGACCTGAGCATTAATATCCATATATGGGCAGAAGAGAACAGCCTTAATTAACTAGAAACCACTTATGGGTTGAAAATATTTCATCTTGAGTTCATGCTTCCCATGGCTACCAAGGAACCCCTACATTTCCTTGGGGGCTGTGAAAGCATAGCATGAAATCTTCCAGCAATGACTAGTGGCTAGGTTGTCTTCAACCATGAAGATGGAGCAGTCTGCCCCTCCACACTACTCTGGCACTCTGATTCTGTAATCTACACTGTGAGTTCCTAATCTGAGACCTACTTTTATTTCATCTTCTTCCAGGAAGTAAGTCAATATCATGCATTAAAAATTATTTTTCCTACCTCATATGATAAAATAAAACAGGTAAAAAACTTGGAAAAATATTTATACCTTATAGAGAAAAGTTAGTATCCCTAATATATTAAAGACTTCTAAAACTTGAAAAATAAAGACTAACAACCCTATTGGGAAAAAAACACCTTATAAACAATTCATTTTCAGGAAAAAAATACAGATGTCTCTTAAACATATGAACAAATATTTAACCTTACTCATAATAAGAGAAGTACTAAGTCAAACCAGAGGGAGATACAAATCTTCACCTACTATAACTAAACAACCAAAACTGTGATAGAATACTGCATTGACAAAGCTGTGAAAAATACGTACTGTTATATGTCACTGGTGTGAATGCAAAATGGTACAAACTTTATGGAGAGGAATTTGGCATCTAAGAAAATTACAAACATATTTACCTTTTAACCTGTTTCTAAATCTATACCAAAGAAACACTAGCAAAAAGTGAAAGACTATTTATTTTAATGTTATTAGTTGGAACACCATTCACAATTGCAAAAGACAAGAAAAAACTAAATGTCCATAAATAGACAATGGGTTGAATAATATATGGAGTACTCTGCAGTTATAAAAGAGGATGAGAGATCTTTATATATTGCTCTCCAAAATATTGTTAAAGAGTAAGGTAAAGAACTATGAGTACAGTAGTATATAGTAGAGTATGTATATGTTTGTGTATTTAAAAAATTTTTAATGTTATTTATTTTTGAGAAAGAGGTAGACAGAGCATAAGCAGAGGCAGAGAGAGAGGGAGACAAAGAATCCGAGGCAGGCTCCAGGCTCTGAGCTGTCAGCTAGAGCCTGACGTGTGGCTCTAGCCCAACAACTGCAAGATCATGACCTGAGCTGAAGTCAGATGCTTAACCAACTGAGTCACCCAGGTGCCCCTGTTTGTGTATTTACTTAGATTAAAAATGGAAGGATAAATGAAAAACCACCCAAAATGGTTGAAGAATTAGGGTAGAGGGGACAGGAATAGAAACTAGATGTCTCTTATTTTGTTTCATAGTTTTCATTTTGGAATTCTGTAGCTATTTAATCTAATTTTATAACAAAATTTTAAAACAGTTTTTAACTAAAATGAAACAAATGAACAGTATTGTATATTCAGAATATACAATCTACGGGGGAATTATTTCAAGAGCTCTTAAAACAGTAATTTTTAACTGTTCATCACTAGTGAGATACTCAAAGGTTTAAAAGAACCACAATGAAATCTTAAGCAGCTTTCAATAATCATATTTTTAATAATGTATACTATAATTTTGAAAATATTTATTTTAAGGAAATTAAAAAATATTAATGTAATAAGAAAAAATCAGGCAGAATAAAAATTAAAATAAAAATTTAAGGCATTAATTAAAATTTCTGTAATCCTAAATTTGAGCTGAAAATATTAATATAAGTTTATGATATTATTTTTCCTCTAAAACAAATAAAAATATCTAGAAACAATGACCATCCATTAGGAACAAAAACCCCTAATGCCCAAATGTTTACTTTGGTCTCTAAATAAATTTCCCTCTTATAAAGAGCCAAGGCTTCTTGGAGAAATGGCCGGTGCCAAGTCAGGGTACAAGAAACACACAAAATAAGGTTGGAACATCTAGTCCTACTCAAAAACAATAAATCTATGAAAGACCATTGGGTCATGACAAAAGAATATAGGAGAAACTTGAAGAAGCTCCCAGTTGTTAAGTACGAGTATTCTGAACATCAAAGAGAATAATGACAGCAAAAGATCAAAATGCATCAACCATATTAAAATCCATGTGTTAATACTTTCAAAAAGAAAAATCTCTTTAGTCATATGTGGAGGATGCTAATGAAATAACTCATTATTTTGAAAATTAGTAAATAAAGGAAAAGTATCATTTATCCTGCTTCTTTGTTCAAATGATATCACATGGTACTACATAGTTGATCTGGAAAGCTGCTTATTTATAGGAAAGTACCAGGTAATAGATACAGAAGGTAGGAAAGAATTAGCATACCACTAGTTTGTAACCCCTAGTTAGTACTGGACTAACTAAGCAGTAACCATCAATGGATACTAAAGGCATTAGTGAAAATGGAGAATGCTAAAAGGTAATCCTTCCCAAACTTTTTTTTTTTAATGTTTTATTTATTTCTGAGAGAGAGAGAGAGAGAAAGAGAGAGAGCGAGCAGGGGAGGGACAGAGAGAGAAGGAGACACAGAATCTGAAACAGGCTCCAGGCTCTGAGCTAGCTGTCAGCACAGAGCCCGACATGGGGCTCAAACTCATGAACCCTGAGATCATGACCTGAGCCGAAGTCAGACGCTTAACCAACTGAGCCATCCAGGCGCCCCCCAAACTTCAATGTGTATGTGAATCACTTTAGGATACTGTTGAACTCTAGAATCCAATTCAGTAGATCTGGGGTTGAGCCTAAGGTTCTGATTTGTAACAAGCAAACACATGATGCCATTATCACTGGTCAGAGGGCTATTCTAAAAAAAGACAAAATAGCCCCTGACATTCAGGAGCTGGCCTACTATTATTATCTGGGTCTTGGTGTTCTGCTGAAAGCAAACAATTTCACAGAGCAACATCAGACAAGGTCACTCTGTGATCACAATGGCTCAACACAAAAACAAAAATACTGCAGAATAGGGGCACCTGGGTGGCTCAGTTGATTGAGCATCCAACACTTGTTTTTGGGTCAGACCATGATCCCAGGGATGTGAGATCAAGCCCATGGTAGGCTCCATGCTCAGCATGGAGCCTGCTTATGATTCTCTCTCTCTCTCTCTCTCTCTCTCTCTCTCTCTCTCTGCCCCTCTCCCCAACTTGCATATGCGTGCTCACTCTCTCTAAAATAAAAACCCCAAAACAAAAATAAATAAAAAAATAAAACAGCCCAACAACAAAACAATACTTTATAATCATATCTCAACAGAAATAATGAACACTATCCAAACTACAAAATTGACCAAACATCCTCCTACCTTGGCTATTCTAACTGACCACTACTACTTTACCAATTTTAACTTTAGGCTTAATCTAGTCTTCCCTCATTCTAGGTAAGACTTACTAAAATGTCCAGTCATTCTTGCTTCCTGAAAGCATTTTATCCAGAGCAAGCTCCAATTCCTTAAACCCTCCCTAAAATCACCAAACATTTGCCTGAGCCTATAACAAGTCCTTTCTAACACCCTCTGAGAGGTCTCATGTTTCCTGTGGTATGAATTTTCTCTCATTATAACATGTTATAAACACATCTTGTTTCACTATAGGTGTGTTCTGGTGGGTTTTGTTGGAGTAGCTGTAAGCAGTATGGTGAGTCGGGTTGACAGCTGAGTCACTAATCACTATGTGGTGTTTTGCTATAGAAACTCACAGCACCACCTATAAAGTAATCGTGCCAAAAAAGGTGAACGTGAATCTCATTAAGCCTCTAGATTTAACCATCAGTTTTATAAGAAATATGTGCTATAGAGGAACATATTAAGGGGTCATATTCAATTCAACCACAAGGAAAATTGCCATTTCCCCCCCAACAAATAACTGACAAAAAGAAAAGATGGAAGAACATATAAATTAAAAGAGACTCAATAGTCACATTAATCACTTGTAATGTGTAGTCCTTATTTGGCCTGAATTTGTATAAACTATTACACAAATAATGATAATTACAAAAAAGCAATAGGAGATATTTGAAGAAACACTAGCTCTATGATAAAAACAAGGCGTAATTATAAATATTTTTAGGTTTCATAATGGCAATGCTCATTTTTCAAAATGTTTATAAATAAAATGATATAATGTCTGAGGTTTGTTTTAACATAATCCAGTTGTGATGAGAGGGAGTGCAGGGGTGGGTATTTATTTCTTTTCCTTTTTTTTTTTTAATCACTTACAGATATGTCAACTGCAAATGAAAAGGAATGAGGAATTATTCTATGTAGACACAAGTGATGGTGTTTAGGGAAACATTTAATATAAATATTTGATTCTTAAAAAGAAAAAAAAAAAGACCACAACATACTATTTGAGCAATTACCTGGATCTGTAGCAGACATTAGTGAACCAAAAAACAAACAGTCGGTGAAATGGAAGTCTCCATTTTTCAACTGGCCAGCATATACCATAGCTTTCACAAAGCCATACATAATTAACCTGTTGAAGAGAAAAATAAGATCTTCAAACATCAAGCTGAATTCTGCGCAAATGCACACTGTATCATAGGTAATATTCTAATGTGCTTCCTGAATAAGCATCATGCACAAATTATCACCATTCTGCCAATTCATGGCCATGCTAGCTCTCAGTACCTTGCTGAAATTTCTTGACTATGAAAGACACTTTTACCAAGTATCCCAACTCTTTCACCTGGCAAAAGGTAACAATATTTTCTAGTATATTTTGATGAAATTAAATAAATCTCAAGGATATAAAAAAGAATCTGTCAAATATGTCATAGCAAATTATGCCCACAAATACAGCAGCTGGGTTAACATCTGTACACGGATTGCTTTTCTGTTTTCATTGTTTTATGTGTTAGGGGTGTTTGAAAAGTGTTCAGATTTCAAGTCTGTCACTGCTATGAGAAGGATATTGGTCACACAAAGTGCACTCAGTCAGCCAATTACGCTACAGTAGATGGGTCTTCTACTACTGCTAGTGTCAGGACACTTCCACCCTAGGTAGAGAATCACTGCTAAGTTAGAGCTCTTGTGACTTCAATACATTGTTGGAAATGAATCCTGAAAGGTTTATGTTTTGATCTTCCAAGGATAGCCATTCTTTTCATGAGATTATAATATGTTTATAAACTTACCAAATCCACAATGGAACACAGATTGTCTATATTGCTCATCATTTGCCACCCCATAACTTTTAAATTGTATTTAATTGTTTAACTCACTGATTTCTGTCAACATCCTACTAGAGGAAATACAGAGATTGGTGAACTGAACCATAGTAAAATCACTATAAGTGACTCCAAGAGTCTTTAGAAACTGTATACCTTCAGACCAATAAATGGGTGCTTAAATACTCAAATGCATTGAAAGTTAATTTCTTGAAAAATGTTCTAAGGTTGTGAGCATGGCTAAAAAGACTAGAAATCAGATATCAGAAATTATAACATAAATGAGAATATATTTTAAGAACAAACCTCTCCAATTAGAAAATATTTCAGACACATCTGCATTCAAATTCAGGTTCTACCACTCACTAGTTATATGGTTTTAGAACATTAATAAAACTTTCTGAGCCTTAATATCCTGATTAATGAATCTGTGACAACAATAATAGTTAGCCCATAGAATTGTTTTAAGAATTACCTGAGATAAAATTGAAGACGACACAAAGAAATGGAAAAACATTCCATGCTCGTGGATTGGAAGAACAAATATTGCTAAAACGTCATTACCACCCAAAGCAATCTACACATTCAATGCAATCCCAATCAAAATTGTACCAGCATTCTTCTCAAAGCTAGAACAAACTATCCTAAAATTTGTATGGAACCACAAAAGATCCCGAATAGCCACAGTAATATTGAAGAAGAAAACCAAAATGGGAGGTTATCACCATCCCAGACTTTAGCCTCTACTACAAAGCTGCCATCATGAAGACAGTAAGGTAATGGCACAAAAACAGATACATAGACCATTGGAATAGAATAGAGAACTTTGAATTGGACCCACAAATGTATGGCCAATTAATCTTTGACAAATCAGGAAAGAGTATCCAATGGAAAAAAGACAGCCTTTTTAACATATGGTGTTGTGAGAACTGGACAGCAACATGCAGAAGAATGAAACTAGATCATTTTCTCACACCACACACAAAAATAAACTCAAAATGGATAAAAGACCTGAATGTGAGACAGGAAACCATCAAAACCTTAGAGGAGAAAGCAGGAATCAACTTCCTGAACCTCAACCGCAGCAATTTCTTACTTTTCACATCCCCAAAGGCAAGGGAATCAAGAGCAAAAATGAACTACTGGGACCTCATCAAGATAAAAAGCTTCTGTACAGCAGAGGAATCAATAAAACTAATATGCAACTGACAGAATGGGAAAAGATAGTTGCAAATGACATATTAGATAAAGGGCTAGTATTCAAAATCTATAAAGAACTCACCAAACTCCCCCCCCCAAAAAACAAATAATCCAGTGAAGAAATGGGCAGAAGACAAGAACAGACACTTCTCTAAAGAGGACATCCAGATGGCCAATAGACACATGAAACAATGCTCAGCGTCCCTCAGCATCAGGGAAATACAAGTCAAAACCACACTGAGATACCACCTCACGCCTGTCAGAGTGGCTAAAATGAACAAATCAGGAGACTCTAGATGCTACAAGGATGTGGAGAAACAGGCACCCTCCTACACTGTTGGTGGGAATGTAAACTGGTACAGTCCCTCTGGAAAACAGTGTAGAGGTTCCTCAAAAAGCTAACAATAGAACTCCCCTATAACCCAGCAATAGCACTGCTAGGAATTTACCCAAGGGATACAGGAGTGCTGATGCACAGGAGCATATGTACCCCAATGTTCATAGCACACTCTCAACAACAGCCAAAACATGGAAAGAGCCTAAGTGTCCATCAATGGACGAATGGATCAAGAAAATGTTTTTTATCTATACGATGGAATACTACATGGCAATGAGGAAAAAGGAAATCTGGCCATGTGTAGCAACATGGATGGACCTTGAGGGTGTTATGCTGAGCGAAATAAGTCAGGCAGAGAAGGACAAATACAATATGTTTGCACGTATAGGAGGATTAGGAGGAACTTAATGGAGGACCATGGGGGAGAAGAAAGGGCGACATAGTGGGGGAGAGGGAGAGAGGCAAACATGAAAGACTCTTGAATACTGAGAACAAACTGAGGACTGATGGGTGTGGGGGAAGGGGGGCGATGGGCATGGAGGAGGGCACTTGTGGGGATGAGCACTGGGTGTTATATGGAAACCAACTTGACAATAAACTATTTGTTTTTTTTTTTTTAAATATTTTTTTATTTATTTCTAGGAGAGAGAGACAGCGTGAGCAGGGGAGGGTCAGAGAGAGAGAGACACAGACTGTGAAACAGGCTCCAGGCTCTGAGCTGGCAGTCAGCACAGAGCCCGACGCGGGGCTCGAACCCACACACCGCGAGATCATGACCCAAGCGAAAGTCGGACGCTTAACCGACTAAGCCACCCAGGCGCCCCAACAATAAACTATTTGTAAAAAAAAAAAAAAAAGAATTAAAAATGACTTGTTCCATATATCAAAGAAGCCATTATATTGGGTAAAATAAAAAAAAATATATGCTACCCAGACTTGGCAATATCATATAGAAAATAGAAGACTCTTACACTATTGATTGAAATGATAAAAGTCTTAAAGTATTATTTTTTTTATATTCTATAGCTTATTAAATGGTTGCCTACAAATTTATGCCCAAATTAATCAAATATATACCAGAAGGTGTGTATTCAGAATATTTCAGATTTCTGTTTTTTGTAAAAGTAAAAACTTCAAAGTTTTTATATACATATAAATGTCCAGTGACTAAATTACAAAACACATATATTTGGGTAATATGCAATTGATAATACTATGTACAAGATTAAATATTAGACTTAGAGGGGCGCTTGAGTGGCTTGTTCAGTTTAGCATCCGACTTCAGCTCGGGTCATGATCTTGCCATTTGTGAGTTTGAGCTCCACCTCAGGTTCTGTGCTGAGACAGCTCAGAGCCTGGAGCCTGCTTTGGATTCTGTGTCTTCATCTTTCTCTGTACCTCCCCCATTTGTGTTGTCTCTCTCTCTTAAAAATAAATGAACATTAAAAAAAATGTCAAATATTAGACACAGAAAAGTAAACTGATAAAGCAAATTACAAAGTGGTAATAAATAAATTACAATTTTATAAAAATTGAACATACTTAGGCATATATATAAACAGAAAAAGACCAGAATTATATAGGCTAGAATGTTAATAGTAGGTATATAATAGAATTAAATGTGACTACTTTTCTATTTACTTTTCTGCATTCTTCCAGTTCTTTTAAAAAATAGTAATAATAAAAATAAACTGAAACATACATTCATTTTGTCACTTAATCCTCCAAATTATATGAATTAGGGGCTGTTCTTATTCCTTTTTACAGTGAGAAAAATAGTACTCAGAGAGGTTAAATAACTTGCCTAAGTTCACAGAAGTTCGCTCTCAAGAGCCATGGATTTGAATCCAGGCAGTTGGATGCCAAAGCCCACATCATTTGATACCAACTTTATAAAGCTTTTGAATTGCTTTGAAATCTGGAGAAACACACATAACTCTTCACATACACACACACACACACACACACACACACACACACACACACCCCTACACACATGATTTGTTTGTTTATTTACTCCAAATCAATCCCGGGACAAAAATAACTATAATTCTAATATCTTACTTGAGATAATACCAAAGAAGGAGAGAAAAAAAGTCCAGTTCAGTACAAGCTCGATACTAATAACAATGGTCATCATCACTGGTAATTATAACAATCCAATAACTAGTGTGTATATACTACTGCTACACCCTCCTTTATAAATGGTAGCTATTGTCATTGTTGCTACATATTATTAATAAAAACTAGTTATAACTATGTTAACTGGGAAGCTAAAAAATAAAACCATAACTACTATATTCTCACATAGAGGTATATTCTTTCAGCACTTCACAGGAAGTACTTCAGATGGCTCATGATACAGGGAAGATGTGGTTTGATGAGGAGAGGGAATCTGGTTAAAGTCTAATGCATGCAGTGCTGTGAAGATGTTGGACCTGTGGTTAGTGACAGCCTGGGTTACAGGGATGGGGAGAAGCAGAAGTGCCTCATAAAAACCAGAAATGTTGATAATTTGATTTTAACAAATAATCCACTTAGTGCTACTATTCTTTGAAATGCAAAGTGCTTGTGCTATGGAGAATCCAATGGTAGAAATTCATAATCTCCTCTCAAAAAGTAGAGTATTACAGGATGGCAGCCATGTCACTGATACTAATAGAAAGCATTGGGGAAAAGAGAATTTTGGGAAATGCCCAGCATAGTATCCCCCCATAATTACTTTATTATTTATGACATGTGTACTGGCTTAAAATTTCATGAGCTTAT